TACCTTAAACATTATTTACTCAATTATAGTATTTTGGCACTTTTGTATAAAGTTAAAATCATAAATAATAAACAACGTTAACCTGGTACACAATCAAAAACATTTTATTTAGGCCTATCTATGGCCTTCAAAAACTTTTTGAAGTCCATAGATAGGCCTAAATAAAATGTTTTTGATTGTGTACCAGTTTAACGTTGAATATTATTTATAATTATTTAACTCAGTTTGTCTAATTCTATTCAACTTTTTTTCGTACAGGTTTTCCTTTTACTATGTAAAATATTATTTCTTTATGCAACAATTTCATTTACATTATATCATTTTCATTTGTGCCATGGGTTCTGTAAAAACAGAAGTAATCATATACGAGATATACTCTTGTACTTGGCTGAATTCTTAGAATACAACGGGCTGATTATGAGTGGCAGAGCTAATTACAGAAAATCTGTGTTCCTGATAAAGGCGCAAAATTGAAACGTTGAGTAAATGAATATATAAAAAAACTTTGACAGATTATCTGGAGATCATGGCCGTTTCATTTATTATATATCATTCACAATTTCACAAAAATATTATTGTATAGATGTAATAAAATAATTTCGATAACGATAAGTTAAACAACTCATTTAATTCAGTTCGCTACTTGTTGACCTTGAAGGTACGCGTGTTAGCATTTGTTTCAAAAAAAAAAGGAAGATAAAAAGCGCCTCTTAGCAAACCTTACAATATTTAAGGTCTTATAAAGATACTAAACAGCGCCTCTTAGCAAACCTTACATATTCAAGGGCTTATAAAGATACTAAACAGCGCCTCTTAGCAAACCTTACATATTCAAAGGCTTATAAAGATACTAAACAGCGCCTCTTAGCAAACCTTACATATTCAAAGGCTTATAAAGATACTAAACAGCGCCTCTTAGCAAACCTTACATATTCAAGGGCTTATAAAGATATTTAAGTACATATTACTCAATACGGAGCTATTGAACATCTGCAAAAATCATAGGTCAAGTGGAACAGTAGAAAACGCCAATAACAAAAGAGAAGTAATGAGTAAATAATATATATAAGAACAGAATGCTGTAGGGTGACAGTCACAGGCAGAACGTTTCAATATATTTTATTATAATATTGCTTCTGAAACAAAGGTTTAATTGTGTAGCAGATTTTACTGCATATACTTTATTGTTGAATGTTTATTTTGACTTTCTTACTTTGTGCAAAAATTATTTATATTGTATTGTTTTACACCTTTTTCCAACAGTTACTGGAACTCAACTTTTAGCTACAGTCTTTTTTTTCTATTTACACTCATAAATATAATTTTAGATACTAAAGTTTTATAATTTCACGTATTTACAGACCTAAAAAATAAAACTATAAGGAACCACATGAATCTTATCTGGCATTTCTCTTCTGGTTATTCAAAAAAAGTTCAAGTGCCTATTTTGTGAATATTTGAGATCGCTTGGTGATAAAATTAAGAACGCTATATTACAACTATAGTGAATAATCTATAAGATAGAATTTGTTTGCTTTAATTCGCATGAAATCTTTGAAAAATCTTATCATTACCATTAGTTATAATACCTTTAGTTATGTTTGGTACTAATAAAACATTAACATCCAACAATTAAGTGCTCATTAAGTTATAATCTATAACAGGAGTGTTCACCAATATCTGTAATAGATGTTGTAGATCACTTCAAACCGTCCATTGTGAGTTTAACTGCACAATGCATCACAGAAATATATACTCAATCAAAACTCATCACTGGGGCAGCGCATTAAATATAGACTCACTAGGATAGATAACATTGTCCCCACAGGCCGATGCATTATTAGGATCAAAAGTGATGTCTGTTTCCGTGGAAGAAGTTTCAAAATTCTCTTTTGGTGGTTTGAAGAAGGGAGACTTCACTTGCAAGGACACAGTCTCCTCGAGTTCAGTTGTTTCTGGGGTTGGCGTCTTCTCTTCGGATCGATCTATACGAGGGTTCTGACGATCAGTAAGATAGTGAGAATCCCCTTCTTCGTCTGAGGGGAGCGATATGTCTTCAGTTATAGGCTGGAAGGACAACGCAGGATTGAAAAAATCAGTGGGAAGAGGGGGAAGCGCCGGTGTTTGCTGTACTAGTTTGTACGATGTTTGTCGTACCATCTGGCGTCGAAGTGCCGACTGTTTTTGAAGTATCTGTCTCTTCTGCTGTAGTTTTTGATGTAGCAATTGCTGCTGCAACGGTTTACTCTGGTTTAGCAGCTTTCCCTGGGACTCTTCACTAACTATGCGTTGTCTTAAAGAACAGGCTAGTGGTGTATATTTGAAACTCTCTGGGAGACTAACTCGCTTAACCACTAATACTTTTCGGTGGTCAGTGGACGAAATTTCAGAAGATGGCATTTCAGCGACATTTGACCCATCATGACAAGGCTGCTGTTGATGCTTGGTTTGTTGCGCTACTCGAACTTGATTCAGATACAAATGCTGAAAATGGTGTTTTTTCTTAATCTTATTTAATCCTATAATCCCACGGGTCTTAAGCGTCTCACCTAGCCTCCGACAGAAGGGGGCTATGCAATGAGTAGGGAGTCCATCTGACGCTCTCCTGCCTTCTCGGAAACCGATAGGTGGCTGTATTGCACTGCAGTCGCTTTCTCTAGGGTTATGCCTGCCAATCATTGTGGAATCATTATTGTTTCGAACAGGTAGCCTCGTCTGTGAGAGCACTTCGCTGGGACTGGTAACGGCTAGTGAGCTTTCGAGGAGATTTGTGGTACTCTGGTTATCCTGAGAAGTCAGACTAGAGGCAAAATCAGTTTCGATTTGTGAATCAAAACTATCAAAGTTTGAGCTTTGGCTGGTAAAACTTCCTACGGGGGAGTCAGATAAACTGAGCATTTGTGTGAGATTACATAACGGTGGAATAACCCTTTGACTATCGGTTGATTCAGATACGGAGCCGCAACAACTATTTTGTTCTATAAAGTTAGAAGATAGCTTTCGTTGAACACAAGGTATAGACTGGGAATTATCAGAACTTTCATAAAAGTCCGCCTCCACCCCTTCGTCCAGAGACTCTGTCACTCTGGACACTTGAGAACCAATATGACTACGTTGGAGATTAGAGCCTTGAGCAACATTACTGAAACGTGATCCTTCAGGTACAGCATACTGTTCTATCACTCTTTCGTTTATCCGGTAGGCATGGCCAACAGATGGCTCATTGGAAGGTGTTGTTCCATCAGTTGTTCTGCTAAAAACACGATGTCTCATATCACCAATGTATGGTCGGGGCTGTAAGTACGAAAATTATGAGCATGAGCGAAAGAACTGTGAAATACGGTATGTAAAATCCTTCTTATGTTTTCCACAACCTTATGATCTAGAACAAAAAGAACATCTAAGAATTTTTGTTTTTATTAAAAAAAAAATAGCAACATTTTTACCTTAGTTCAAAAAGTTTATTCCTTTTCAAGAAATTGTGAACAATGACTTTGGAATTAGATAAATGCTTATTGCATTATGAGCTTTTCAAATTTTTCAAAACCTTTTTTTTTCGGTTTTATATAACATACCTGGACTTGAGAATCAACCACATTTCCGTGTGTTATGGGTGAGCTAGATGTTGGGCCACCTGGTGGCTGATATGAAGTGAATGCAAGAGAACAAGTGTCTAATTTCCTCATTGCTTGTTCTGCTATGGTGCTAGGCCTACGAGGATGGTAACTATCTGTCGGTTGTTTTCCAGCAGCAGATGAAATATTCTTCTGATACTGTCGCAAACGATCCAATAAGAGAAGATAGATGGCAGCATGATGGTCATATTTTTCATTCAGTAGAGACTACAAATTAAAAACAAATCTCAATATCATTAATTAAAAATCCAAAGGTTGTGTGCAATAAACTATTTACAAATTGAGAAATACACTACCGAGAACTTTTTTTTTCTTTATTAATCTATAGACAATGTTTCATTCTGACACAAACATACTGAATATTTTTCCTTATCAAAAATGTTCTTATTTTGATCCTCTGGAATTACACGTTACTTTTCGTGACTAAACTTTTAAAAATGCGAATATTATCTCATCACAGCTAAAGAAAGACAATTTAAACAACAAAAACAAAAAATACAGGTTATGAATTTAAGGTCCCCACATTTTTTATTTTATTTCTGAAGACCAAATCTATAATATCTATTTAGCTTCATTGATGTATTTTATTAAATGTAAGAGAAATGACTATTTGTGTCATTTTTAATGTTTGTTTAAGTTGACCTTCAAATACTAATTCTTTTGTCTACGCTCTATAACATATTTCTATGGTGCTAACCATTATTTTGTTTTCGAAATAAAAGGACATCTTGAAATGATATATTGAACAAAAGACCTAACAGTATTATCATTAGGTTTACTTTTAAGCATTAATAGAGTGGCAAAAGGCGTAACACCTGGTGAAATTAAACTCATGGATATCATGAATATACCGACATACAAGATAGTATAGTTGTTATTAAGCAAAAAGCTACACAATGCGCTCTCTGTGCTATGCACACTACGGGTATCGAAACCCGATTTATTGCATACTAAGCCTGCGGACTTGCCGCTGAGCCACTGTGAGGCAATATCAACTGAACATGTTTTTCTCATCCTCAAACTGTACACAAACAACTGGTATGCAAGTTGAAAAATTATAATTTTAATTATATTTAAAAACATTAAGCTTGATATTTACGACTTCATTGATTTCAATTAAACACTTCTTCACCGAGCAAAATAGCAAAATATTTTACAGCTTACAAACTGACCTGTGATGCCCATATCGTAGCTTATAAATAAGCTTAAAATCTTGTTTATTTTTTACAATTATAAATGTTTTTTCAACTGAACGACACTTTATGCACACAATTGGTTAAACGACCAGGTCAGAGATCATGCGACTCAAGGACAGGTGTCCTTAATTTTGAGGGAAGACAATCATTTGGCATCACCCGTTCCCTTTAGTGGCTACTCTAAACCAAATAACAGAGTTGACTGTCCTTTTTATAACTGAAACTACAAAAGAAAGTAGTACCATGTATTCATCCCTAGTCCGATACATTAACCATTAGGCTCAATTAAAAATATCTCTGAAGTTTACAAACAACACTTTAAATGCAAACAGCACATGCTTTTACTATGATTGGTGTGCATATTATTAATAAAGAGATCATTTTACTTATTTAATCCGAAAATATTTTCGAAATATATAGCTTAAGAGTTAGAATTAGTATTTTTTATTTCTTTCTGGCAGTTGGTATTTGTTGAGTCGATTGGCCATTACATACAATTGAATTCTTAACACTGGTAGTCTTTATAGGGATTATAGATGAACCGAATTAAAACTGAGACTAAGGAAGAATATGGGAGGATTCAAGAGTCCACCACAAGTCTCTTGGACTATAGGAGAAACAGTCTACTTGGGTTTTCACAGAAGTATCCCGAACCGATTTATGGGCACATCCATTATCATGATACTAAAAAAAAAAGAGTAATCATCGCATTAAAAACATGTAACTATGTAATTAACTAGAGACGTTCCCTAAATAGTAAGAGGTAAGTTGAAGAACAAGTTGATGACATGGCTTGAATATTACTACGTAAAACAGAGCAATTAACAATATATAAGAAAAGAAAAAACTCTGAAAGGCCATTGCAGCACGAATATAATGCAAACAATTCAGATGCATAGATGACATAGCTGGTATGGTAGTCAGAGGTTTTATGAAAATTAAGGATCAAGAAAAATCATCAGTGCAAATAATGGAATCAGACTGTGATGCACTCGTTTTGAGGATAATGAGATAAAGAAAGAGTTAATTTTTGGTGGAGCTATCAGTCAAGATGAGAGGGGAAGTACAAAAAATAATAAGTGTCATTTTCCAATTGAAATCCTACTGTGAAGAGGAGAGAAAGTGGGGATATGCAAACATTGCCCTAACTAGTCGGGGATCTTATCTCCAGCGATGAAAATTCAAGTGTGTCTCGTCAAATAAAAACTGGAAAATATTTATGCTTTTTGATGTAATAGAGAATGATCAAACGTGCAATAAAGGTACTCTTTTCTCAACAAGAGAGATGGATCTTTAGCCACCAGCTGTAAAAATATAACAGTAAAATACATTTTATTGCTCCTAGGAAAATACATAAAGCATCGAACTGGATTTTATCCATTTGAAGAAGTTTGATACACAATCGATCCATAATCCAACAAAACAAGATAAAAGATCAATCTGCACTCCATAACGAAAATGCATAAAGGAGGCCAGATCTATTATGACAGCTAGAAACTAAACTCAAAGTTTACTATCCAGGACAACTCTAAAATTGTCTAATGTAGACACCTTTTCAATTTCTAAGTGATCACAATTATTTCCATATGGCTAAGGTTAGAAATCACATATCAACATATTTAAGATGTAAAGTGAAAGCCCCCCCAACCAAAAGGCAATTTTATCTAGGACTGAGAGGCTATCTTGTATTTTAGTACAGATGAAACCTAAGCCGTATTCCTGTCACCAAACTAAAACATCATCAGCAAAAATCCTATAGAAGGTGCTTTAAAGTAAATAGTGCTCCAGATCAGACTTCAAAATTGTTTTACAACATGTTACAGCTTTTACAGTAACAAAAAAATATGTTTAAAGCACTTAAAAATGATTACACCAGTGATCGAAACGTCGTACCTATTTTTAAAATATTCTTCCTTACTGTAAAAGCTGTAACTTGTAATAAAATAATACTAATAATCAGTAAGTAAACTCAAAGCGAAACAGACTTCAAGTTTAAATCCAGTGTTTCAGAAACTATGGAACTACAGGAACACCCTATACGAATATCCAAGGATGTGCAATTTCCAAAGCAAAACAATATAAAAAATCTGCTTCAATATTCGATTGTCGTTTTGACTCTATAAACTTAAAACATAATGTCAGGTTAATAACTATGTAGAACTTGTGTTCTAATGCGTTTGCGTGTTTATAATAAACAAAGGATAGTAAACTGCGCTTCTATTTTTTTCTTAACATAATAAACATTAAAAGTGCAATAAAAAGACAGAGGTACCAATACTGGAAAGGAAGACATACTGTTTCAATAATCCTATTATCACTATGAAATTAGATGGGGGGGGGGGTCGAACCCCCGTCATGACCTTCCTCGTATATCAAGTTGTTCTGATCTGGTAGTTATTTTCCCGAAATTATATATGAATCGATGAAAAAAAAATTAGATGGGGGGTCTAACCCCCCTCATGACCTTCCTCGAGTAATCCTACATCACTGTGTCAAGTTTGGTGCTGATTGATCACAAAATGTGGAAACGTATAAGGAACAGATGGCTGAAAGGTGGAAATAAACAAATTTAGCTTTATGTATTAGATTGCTACCACTAATGAACGCATCAAAGTACAACTTCTCGACAATACTGTATAAATAAACAAACAATTTATAAAACGTATAAATAATCATAATATTTTCCGAACTTATACAATTAATCGTATTAATATGAATCAAGATATTCAACATATGCAAGAACATTTGTGTTGGTTAAAAACCACACTGTAAAAATGACTTAACATTTCTAAAGGTTTAGAGACATAACACAAATACATTAGACTCAGACATCGTAGCACATCAGAACATTTCTATGGAATTGGAAGAAAATAACATTAATATTGATATTAGTGGTTGAAGTATATAACCTAACAGATATGGGATGCCGCACTAAGCATCGGTCTGCCTATAAAAGAGGACTATCCACACAATTCTGTTTATTCTCTAGCTTTGACTTATTTGTATAAACGAATTTGGTTACCTCTTTAGTTTTAGCTGCATCTATTCCTAGACTCTGCATTAACCGTAGTATTTGTTCGTTGAATTCTCCAAGCTTTGTTTCTTCTCTGGTGTCATTGGTAGGGCAAGGATATTGTGGAAGAGAAGAGGAGATTTCCGTCTGCATCCACTTGTGTTGTTTGATGTGCTCTACGTTATATCTTTTCTTTGGCTCCAAAATTAACATTCGACGAATTAAGTGTTCGCACTCTGGTAACGAAATCAAACACAGGAGTTATGGACATTTTCGTTAACTTACTGTTCAAAATGAATAATTTTCAGAAATAACACACGTCGTTCAATTCTAGAACAACAATTTCTGAAGCGCGCTTACTTCGATTGTTTGCTTGTGTGTTTCAGAATTTTGAAATGAACAATTTTTACAAATAACATATGTTGAATTATAGTGCAACATTCCACGACGTGTTTCTATTTTACTTCGTGAACCTGGATCGATTTTTTGCTTGTTTGTTTCTGAATTTTCACGCAGGGCAACACAAAGAGCTTTCTCCAACATCGCCATCCCTAATTTTAAACTGACAGACTAAAAGGAAGGCAGTACGTTAATATCACTGACTGTCAGTTCTTTGGTTACTCTTGACTGTTCGAGTAATAGGATTCGACCTTCCTTTTATTACGAGCCCATAGTCCCAAGGTGCGGAGAGCGTTTTTGCGGCAACGGGTACCTTCTGATTCACATTTCAAACGCTTTAACCATTAGACCATGCCCGGCCCCACCCGGAATTGACTTAATAGATACATATAATATTTAATATATGATACCATAAAAAGTTCCGCAATGGCTCAGTGGGAAGTCTGAAATTCTGGTTTCGATACTCGCTCTGGTCAGAACACAGATAGCCTATTGTGCAACTTTTGTGCTTAACAAAGAACAAACAAATAATAACACCATAAAATATTGTTAAAATGTTATAGTAGAAGGATTAAACATTTAGTGAAAAAGTAAAAAAATAATAATAATAAGACATGAATATGAAGCTTTAACAGGAAGCAAAACAGCTGACTTCAGCAAAAAGTAAGAAAAATCGAATTATGAGCAGCTGCTAGCAGGAAATAAGCTAATGATTTAGAACATCCTGCTCTAGCACATAGTATTAAATAACATGAATTTAAACCCATCTTATACATCACTGAATATACTATTTACAACCTACCTTACTTTTAATCTTTGACACCCACATTCCCTTAATCAGTTCAGAACATGTTAATAATTTTATAAAAGATGCACATGATGTATCTTAGTTATGTTTCTGTTTCTCACTCTGTATAAATAACTTACAAAACAAAACTACTATCAAACGTAGACAATAAATTATGCCTGTTAACACAATGTGATATTTAATGATGAACAGTAGAATGATGGCAACAATAACGAACATTTGACAGGTGTGTGTGTGTACAGCAGTAACAAACATTTAATTCTTGAACGTTTCGGAATATCCATATTCCATCCCCAGCAAACTATACTGGACATGGTAAATTATTATGTACAAAAATTCAAACATTTTATAATGAGTAATTAAAATATAGAATATAAGGATAAAGTAAATTAAAAGACAAACAAATAAACAAGTAAACATTGTTGCATTACCCTATTATTTCTTGTTTATTTGTTTGTGTTTTAATTTATTTTATCCTTATATTCTATATTTTAATTACTCTTTATAAAATGTTTGAATTTTTGTACATAATAA